CACCTCTATCAATTAGTCAATATTATATGGAAATTTTAGGGCAGTAGTAAATACACGTTCTGTTTACCGATTTATGACGGAAATATGAAAACCGAAGTCATTGACATCGTGTTTTCACACTTGTTATATTGCAGTCTGGAGGAGTAGTATGTATACAGAATGTGCATAGGAAGTTTCGTTCTCAGGTTTACTGTATACGAGATCAGTATCGTCAGACCGACGCAACGGAAACAGGCAAATAAACTTGAGTCGGCGTATTTTCTTCGCGACCGTTTAGCAACACTCTGGCCGTGTGTATCCGGTGGACTGCCGCCTTTTCTTGTTGGCCGTCATCAACTTGAATTAGTTCCGCGTCATATTTTTCCGACGATGTATAAATTGCCGAGCGCGCGATGTTTCAAATCATAGCACATGAAGACTGCTCTGTATTTGCTTGAAATTCAATTGCTATGTTATATTTAAACAAGCAAATTGTAATCCGTTCTTAGGGTGTCTATATCAGTTGTTGTTTTGTGGGATTAGCAGTACAGGGGAAGGATAAGCATTCATTTACTCAGTGGACAGAGGCGGAGTTAATTACCCATGAGCACTTGGTGCAATCCAAGGGATTGAGCGGTTCCCCTTTAAATCATATAGCGTATCATGGCGTAACTCTGGGCAGTGTAGTGTTTAATAATAATAATAATAATAATAATAATAATAATAATAATAATAATAATAATAATAATAATAATAATAATAATAATAATAATAATAATAATAATAATAATAATTTATTTATTTATTTATTTACCTAGAAAATATTTCATACAATACACACAATTGTACATGCAGCCTAGGTGAAATGGAATCTGAAATAACTTAAAAGCTAGTCGAGTCAGATCCCTGACATGACATGAATTTGATGACTTCACTACAGCACGTTTCGGTGTATTCATTGTAAATGCCAACAAAATGTGATTATGCATATAGTCTTTCTATTCCTTCTGTTATTAGAGATGCGTATTGCAGGAGCTGAAGTTCGGGCTGGTAACTATGGTAATTTCACAGAAAACAACCTATGTGGCGTAATAACTTCATCCATGGTAAATGAAAACTCCGTCTTCAATGTTAGTTGTATAGTGTATGGTCACCCTGTCCGAGCACAGTACGTCAGCTTACACATCAAAGGCATAGAGTCCTCCCTCTCTATCTGTGAAGTCGAGATATTCAGCAATGACGTCGACGGCAACTTAGACGCTGGTGGCGGCAGCGTAAACGTTAATGACAACAGCGAAGACGGTATCGGACTTGACGACGGGGATACGGGTGTCGCAACGCCTGACACTCCTGATGATAACATGGGTAATGTCGACACAGAAAATAATATCACAGTTACAAGTACAGGAGAGGAGCACAGCGGACCTGCGGAACCAGGTAAACCGAGTTTACTTTCACAAGTGGTGAAAATTCACGTAGACGTATGGTGAAAACCAAAAAAACACTGTGTAATCTCTTATATCAACCATATATGTAATTATGAATTCATATCATATTTACTAACTATTTTACTGCTCACTGAAAAAGCTTTACAAAAGTATGAAATAATTATTGTGCATGTGTTTCTTTTTATTCTCCTACATATACAAATAATATCATAGTGTGTACAGTACCAGCCGACTTGGGAAATGTTGCGTTTGAAAAACCGGCTACGCAAAGCTCAAGAAGAGCCGGTGCCAGTGCCGGCAGAGCTGTTGATGGAAACAGACATAGTGACTTCAAAATGAAATCATGCGCAATGACGCTGTACGAATATGAACCGTGGTGGCAGGTCGATTTAAGACAAGAATTCAGCGTGTTTCAAGTGTCCATAACGAATAGACAGGACTGCTGCGGTAAGATACCCCCCAAGATTATGTAACAGTGTTTATGTTTCATGGCTTCTTCTACATGGAACATGAAAATAATTATATTCTTAGACCTGTAAAAAATATTTTCTCGGACCTGTAAAAGAAATGCGCTTTAATGTAAACTGGCAATCTTAGCATATAAATTACCTTTTTCTATTTTTTTATTTCCCAGCACAGCGACTAGAAAACGCTGAGGTCCGAGTTGGAAATGATGGTAATATATTACAAAACGCTGTGTGTGGCTCCATATTGTCTGGGGCCATTGTAGCCCAGGAGTACATACAGATCATTTGCGCATGCGGGGCACCAATACCCGGACGTTACGTCACAGTGCAGCTCGTTGCTAAGCAAGAAGAGTTAACATTATGCGAAGTCGAAGTCTTTGGAAGACCCGTGCCATTAGAACAAAGTGGCGGTGGCGGAGGCGAGGTAGGCTATGATTGGATGCCTACACCGTTCCCAATGTATCCTGGATATTGGCGAGGAAGAGGAAACTACAGTACGTTACCTTTCACTATATTATTTTCTGCACATGCATTTTAAAATCATCCCGTTTTACATTGTAAACAACAGCGATCTGTTAAAGGCGGTGGTCGTCGCGCAGCGCGTGTTCGAATTTTACGTAAACTAACAATGTATTTTACGCGCGTTGTATACGTCGCTAAGAGTCCCATAATGAACAGGACGCAGCGTGACGACCAACGCCCTTTAAATATATAATTCCGCATATACCTATATTAATCCTTGCCATATTCAATGTATCCACACCGCACACTAGAAGAATATCCGGTGAAACGTCACTTTAAATGTATTTTTAATTTCTACTTTGTTTTCTTATGCACAACCCGTTAGGTTGTGATGTACCTGAAGATCTTATAGATATTGCACAAGGAATGCCAGTGCAGCAAAGCTCAGTATTTGGCAGAGCGGACGCCAAAAGAGCTGTCGATGGCAACCGGAACAGTGACTTTGCTGGAAATTCGTGCACGCGAACGGAGAAGGAATCTAATCCATGGTGGTTTGTAGACCTGAAACAATCCCAACCTGTGTATGTAGTGAGAATAACCAATAGGATGGACTGTTGCTGTAAGTGATAGTATGGTCTAGAATAAAATATCCATGATCGAATGGGTTGTTACTGTAAGTGATGTTAGTGTATGTAGTGAGGATAACCAATCGAATATGATGTTACTGTATTTGCTGACAGTGTATGTATTGAGGATAACCAATGGGAAGGATTGTTACTGTATTTGTTGATAGCGTATGTATTGAAGATAACCAACAGAAAGAACTGTTACTGTATTTGATGTTAGCGTATGTATTGAAGATAACCAATAGGAAGGACTGTTACTGTATTTGCTGACAGTGTATGTATTGAGGATAACCAATGGGAAGGACTGTTACTGTATTTGCTGATAGCGTATGTATTGAAGATAACCAACAGAAAGAACTGTTACTGTATTTGATGTTAGCGTATGTATTGATGATAACCAATAGGAAGGACTGTTACTGTATTTGCTGATAGCGTATGTATTGAAGATAACCAATAGGAAGAACTGTTACTGTATTTGCTGATAGCGTATGTATTGAAGATAACCAATAGGAAGAACTGTTACTGTATTTGCTGATAGTGTATGTATTGAAGATTACCAATAAGAAGGACTGTTACTGTATTTGTTGATAGCGTATGTATTGAAGATAATCAATAGGAAGGACTGTTACTGTAATTGCTGATAGTGTATGTATTGAAGATAAACAATAGGAAGAACTGTTACTGTATTTGCTGATAGCGTATGTATTGAAGACAACCAATAGAAAGAACTGTTACTGTATTTGATGTTAGCGTATGTATTGAAGATAACCAATAGGAAGAACTGTTACTGTATTTGCTGATAGCGTATGTATTGAAGATAACCAATAGGAAGAACTGTTGCTGTATTTGATGTTAGCGTATGTATTGAAGATAACCAATAGGAAGAACTGTTACTGTATTTGCTGATAGCGTATGTATTGAAGATAACCAATAGGAAGAACTGTTACTGTATTTGATGTTAGCGTATGTATTGAAGATAACCAATAGGAAGAACTGTTACTGTATTTGCTGATAGCGTATGTATTGAAGATAACCAATAGGAAGGACTGTTACTGTATTTGCTGATAGTGTATGTATTGAAGATTACCAATAAGAAGGACTGTTACTGTATTTGTTGATAGCGTATGTATTGAAGATAATCAATAGGAAGGACTGTTACTGTAATTGCTGATAGTGTATGTATTGAAGATAAACAATAGGAAGAACTGTTACTGTATTTGCTGATAGTGTATGTATTGAAGATAACCAATAGAAAGAACTGTTACTGTATTTGCTGATAGCGTATGTATTGAAGATAACCAATAGGAAGAATTGTTACTGTATTTTCTGATAGTGTATGTAGTG